AGCAGGGAAGGAAGCAGGGAAGGAGGAGGGAAGGAGAGAAGGAGAGAAGAAAGGAGGGAAGGAAGGAGGGAAGGAGAGAAGAAAGGGGGGAGGGAAGAGGGAAGGAAGGAGGGAAGGAGGGAAGAAAAGAGGGAAGGAAAGAGGGAAGGAAAGAAGAAGTAGGAATGTAAGATAACATGGAGTTATGGGATGGTAAGAAAGCAATTTCAAGTATATTGTCAACTGTAGGGGAAAAATTGTTATAAATACATATTATTAATAACAGTTATGAGATCATATAATTGTGAATGTATATATGAAATTAATAAAATTTTCTAAAAAAAAATTTTTTTTTTACTCCTAAACTACAGAAACTGGCTGGGGAATTCTGGGAGTTGAAGTCCATAGGACTTAAAGTCGCTAAGGTCGAGAAACACTGTTTTAGAGGGTTCGGTTTTTTGCCTCTTGCGCTGGAAAGAAATTTTCAGGCTTCTGTTTGCTTAAGATTTTAGGACTCTCCCAGCACGGAAAGTCTTAAATTGGCTGCAAGTTTTTGCAAAACAGAGAAACACAGACTTCCTTGTGTGTCCGTGGGAGGAATTAGAATTATTGGACAGGGCAGGGGTAAAAAACATAAGCATCTGCCAGCAGAGGCTGCCCTGAACAGAGGCCCATAAGGGAAGCATGAATTGCAGAGCGAAGCAGTTTTGCCTCTGCAAGGATATACCCCAAAATAAAAATACATGAAAACGAAACTTAAGTGGAATAGAAACAAGGAACAATCATGATAAAGAGGAAGAGAGTGAAGGAAGGGACTTTTTGAGAACAAATACGGTCAAGCTGCCCCTTTTTCGACACGGAAGCCAAGAATTTCTTCTAAAATCCAAAACATGCCTTTCCCGTAAAAATCGTGGCATGCTTAGGCAAATTATATCTTCCAGATGTGCGGAGCTGTGCACGATGGGGCTTGTAGTCCCATGCTCTGGCGCCTCCAGGAAAAGCTGTCCTGAAGAGTAAAACCAATTTAATGGGGAAATCATTTGAATTGATACCTAAGGTTGAATTTTAGCCCTCCTTGCCTCTAGGTCAAGTTATAACATTTGCGTTTTGTTTTGAGCTTTTAACATTTTATTTGGCCATCATCCCTCTGTGGGAGAGGTGGGTGGTTTTAAAATGGGATAAAAGAATAACAGTACTAGATAAATAATATATTGGAATACTATATATATACATACATACATACATACATACATACATACATANGATAGATAGATAGATAGATAGATAGATAGATAGATAGATAGATAGATAGATAGATAGATAGATAAATATAGTAATAAATTTATTACATTTATCTCACTGTGGAAGTGATTCTGGGCGGCGTATGGGGGGTGGAATTGCTGCCCAGGAAGGGAAAAATAAACATTCCCACTGAAACAAACAGACTATAATTCCGTAAATGGGAGTGAATTGCACCCAGCAGATTGTACCATTTTGGGGAAAAAAGAAAATAAAAAAAGATTTTTGGTAGAAGCTAATAAGGACTTAACTTAAACCCACAACAGAGTCCACAAATTATGTTGCTAAGTGAGAAATTTATTGAGTGTCACCCCATTTGATCTTTCTTGTTGCAGTTGTTAAGCAAATCACGTTAAAATAGTCACATGGTTGTTAAGTGAATCTGAACTTGCCTGTCAGAAGGTCTTCAAAGGGGATCCTATGACCATGGGATTCCAGAACCGTCATAAATGTGAGTCTGGAGATCCACCTGGAGAGGCAGCACAATTGTTCAGTGTTTTTCAACCTCAGCCAATTAAAGATGGGTGGATTTTAACTCCCAATCAGACTCCGTTTTCCACCACGACAGCGTCCCCATGGCCACATGGTCAAAATTCAGACACTTGGCAACTGCTCCACTTTATGATGGTCCCGAAATCACGTGATCCCCTTTTCGACCTTCCGACGAGCCAAGTCAACGGGGAAGCCAAATTCACTTAACAACCCTGTCACTCACTTAATAGCCTCAATGGTTTACGTCACAGCTGTGGCAAGAGCAGTCCTAACGTCGACCAAAAACTCACTTAAAGACTGTTCTCACTTAGCAACGCACATTTGGGGCTCAGTCGTGGTCGTAAGGTGAGGGTTTGCCGGTATTGTGGTGCTTCATTGCTGGATGTTTTCAAGAAAAGATTAAAGAACCATTTACCAAGGATGGTATCAGGTCCCCTGCCTTGAGCTGGTGGGGTGGACTAGAAGACCTCCAAGGTCCCTTTCAGCCCTGGGAATCTATGATCTCGTCTCCTGGAAGGGTCCTTCAGATTATATTGCTTGTTTTTCCTCCAACCTACTTACATTCCTGTTTCTTTTTCCTCTAAATACTGTTTAGACATTGCGGTGTGGTTAAAGATCTCCTGGGAGCGACAGAATTCACATAAATCTCACAAAATAAACAGTGTTGTATACAGCAGTGACGTAAACTATCCCCTCCTGTGTGTCATTTAACTCAGTCTTGATATGGTACAAAATATCTTTTTTTTTTTCGTCCTCTAGTGGATTATAGGAGTAAATTTTTACTCCTAGAAAAGGAGAGGAATAGGAGAGAGGGAAAAGCAGAGGAAGAATTGGAGAGAATGTAAGAGTAGGAGAGAGGGGAGATAAGGGAGGATGAGGGGAAGGGTAAAGGGGAGGAAGGGGAAGGAGAGAAGGGAAAGGAGATCTTTAACCACACCGCAATGTCTAAACAGTATTTAGAGGAAAAAGAAACAGGAATGTAAGTAGGNCTGGTGGTCATTAGGCTCCTCTCAGGACTATAAAAGGAATGCTTGTGCACACACCCCTTTTGCAGAAGTCAACGCATTAATTAATGTTGGAGAACATTATTGTGAGCTTGGCAGGCTGGATTGCTGCCAAGGCTTATCCGTGCTGGATTGCTGCCAAGGACCTGCCTGTCTATTAATAAATTCCGTAAAGTATCTTTGACTTGGAGTGCTTTGGTGTGGAACGAGGAGGGGTCAGAACAGTACTATAATATATACACAAAATGGGTACACACACAGTGATACCATTAGTGTATTGGTGTGTAGGAATAATACCTAATCATTCAATCAATATACAATGACACTTGGCTCATCTTGTCTAGGATTGGAAGCTAAATAAAACTGTCTGGTATCTGAAAAGAAGATGATCGAAGATTCTCAGGGCTATAAGCATTACTGTAAAACTGGGAAATCAAAAAAGCACCCCAAATTAAAGCAATAGCAAATAATGTCCAGATTGCTGTCAAAACAACCACATGTCCATGCCCACCTTAAACATCACAATGGGCTGAGCTCAAAATGTTACACCTAAAACAACCATTAAAGTCATTTTTTCCCCATTTTTTTAAATAAATGGTGCTTTATTTTTCAGTTAAATTTCAAGTAACAGATTGATCTTGGAATCCTTTAAGTCACATTCCTCTTATATTTTTTTCTCTTAAAAGATCCACTGGAATTGCAACATCTTGAGGTTCCCTTCCCTCGATTCCTCTTGTCAAAAGTATTTATATTTGCCAAACTACACAAAAAGTTGCGTTTGGATTTCTTCAGAGGTTAGATTTGTGATGATCATGCCGAGATCTGATCTGCCGCTTAAAGATAGCTAGGCAAACCCATTATTTATTTATTTGCAAGATTCAACATAGGGTTGGGTTTATATTCCCCCAAGAATCCTTGCATAATTCCTCTCACGGGGCTATGCAAACAGCCTGTGTTATGAGCTTCTTCTAGGAAAGGCAAGAAAAAAGGTTGGTGGGAAGAGCTCTTTGGGCCATGGTCTGCTG